CGTATCGGCTTTGTCGCTCGTTTAGCACCACCCGGGGGACACGTGTAAGGTGAGCCTAGGGTTAGGTGGTCGAAGCCTACGGACGCGAGCGACTCATCCCCCTTGTAATATAATTCCTAATTAAACAATATAACTCCTCAAAATTTAAAATGATAATTCCATAATTATATCTTCTGCGGCAGCAATGTCACAGAATAAATATAGTACCCGGGTACCAGCTAGTTTTATATAAAACGTCACTATCGAGTAAGTGTGTAAACTTAGATTAATACAAATATTAATTTTATAATTATTTTGTCAGTTTGGGGAATTTAATTAATATAGCATTTGAAAAATAGTTTTTTTTAAAGGACCCACAGAGCGTCATCCTTACAGTATGTAAAACGTACTGCCGAGCCGGCTATTTTGTTATAAAATTGATATGACAATTAAACTAACACCTACTCTACCTAATGGTAAGTAGCTACAGAAGTCTATTGACATCTGTAACCAAATTCAAACAAAAAAGGGCTGCAGAAGCATTGCATCGACTGAGAACTAAGATGGGATGCCTCTCAGTCTTTTATTATCTAGTTCCCAATAGCTTTTAGACAAGAACACACTCAGAAAGTTTTGACTACATTGCCTGTATTAATTCCTTTGCTGGGCAGCCTGTTAAGCATTAAAGTGCTTCCTTTTTAATTTAAAAATTGTATCTCTTTTTTTGGTTAGTGTATTTTTAAAAATACGCTTTGAAGAAAAAAATGATTAAACTTGTCTGACAGAACTGAGATTTTAATTAAAGTTTTTGGGAGTCAAACATTAATTCTATTACGAATAAAATAATGAATGTCAAAATATCAAAGGGGCTCTAAAAAGTTAAGTGGTTAGAATGGCGTACGGTTTTGCGTACTGTTGGCTGTTTTGTATATAAAAGCATTTATAATATAAGAAACGGCCGACGATGAATACAAATGATTTGTATTAATTTATATAAGAAAAGAAGTCCCTTGCCAATCGGGACTTATTTGGATGTTGACCTATATTTCTTGGGGATAAATAAAATTATTAATAAATCACCTACCTTCACTATTGAATATCCTAATTATAGATGAAACATGCCAAGATAAAGAGAGTGAGAAACTTGGTATTTGTAAAGGGTATGAGATATTTTTTGACATACCAATATAAATAATTGATCATTTTTAAGATAATGAAGGCTATCTGTCACTAATATAATATATGTAGTGTATATGTCCGTAAACTGATAAATCTAACCAACAGCAAGAAAGAGCTATGTCCTATAACTCGCCGCACTTTACTCAGAGGTACGCTACTAGGTGGAAACTAAAATTCACAGCCTAGTTCACCGTCGCCAAGTTGCTTGTTTGTCGGTCTTCCACAGATTGTACTTCGGAGAGTGTGCCTATAAACAACATAAGCTCATGTCACCATCTCCGTTCTCCTATCGGAGTACCAGATATGCTGCGGGTTACCATCCACACTTGTGTGACATTCCTTGAAATGCCGTGCCAACGTCAGTTTTTTCGAATACGTAAAACCTAAACCTTTTCAATGTGCATGTTAACAGGCATCTCCTGGGTAAACTCACTCCATCGTAGACCTCATCTTTGCTCTTGGGCTGGATGGAGGAGCACTAGCCCATTTGTATAAAAAAATATGTCTGACGAATTTCATGGCTAAGCTGTCATCAGCCCATAAAATTCACCTGCTGGACATTGGAAATTTGTTCATAGAAATTAAGCAAGGTGATGATAATGTTGAAAAGGACCCATATACATACATACATAAACACTCACGCCTGTTACCTACAGAAATAGGCAAAACTACGGGCTTCTTTTTGGTACGATCATGACACACCTCCCTCACCTCCTTTACATACATGCTCGTCGGTTAAGGGTACATTTAATCCGGCCTATCTTCAATATATCGCCAATTTGGTCGTAACACTTTCGTCTAGGTTATCCCTCGCTGACTCTGCTGTGCACATCTGCGACATATATTTGATTTTTCACTCTTTCCTCGTTCATTATTTCAACGTGACCTAACCCCCGAAGCATTTTTTTCTTAAACATGGACAACATCATTTTTCAAACCACCGGGACCATATACCTTTAGCTTAATTATTTAAATTTTATATTTGTTACATTCTACAGTTGTAAAACAGGACTTCGTGTTTTTTTTTCTTTTTTAAAGCATTTAGATCCGTTTTATCTTTTTACTAATACGTCACCAGGCAAATGACAGTAGCCTTATGGTTAAATATGGTAACACTGGTGTTCCAGAACCTCATTCATCTCTACAATAACGAAGTCACCATGCAATTCAAGGAAGCAAGCTTGACAATCCAAGAGAAGTTTTTATGCAGCGCCTTGCCCTTGTTGCTACCACAGTGGTGGCACTCGGTTGTCGGTTCTCCAATGGCTATCATCATCATCATCATCATTACAGCCCTTCACAAGTCCACTGCTGAACATAGTCCATCGACTTCCTGCATGTCTTACCATTATTTAAGACCATTTATTTAAATTTAAGTCAAAAAATCTTAAAGCTTTTCGGATAAAATATAGATTTTTAGGCTAAAATCTATCTATTGAAATCACAATTTCATTGCAATTGATTCAGCCATTCCGAAGATTAGCTTGATAGACGGACAGACAAATAGATAAACAGACAAAAATTATGAAAATCATCATATCTTATTCCCGCTTGTCTTAGTCCTGAGCTCAATAAAAGGCGGTTATTACGCTATAAAGTTAAAATAAGTCTTAGTAAAATCTTAAAACGAATCCAGTTATTTTCAACATATTCAAAGATGATTTTAGATTGAATAAACTTAGTTAATTCTACCAAGAGCAAACCATTACGTTTTCACATTATATCATCATTGTAATAGTCAACGCCATATAAATCGTACCTTTAACTTTCAACCCACTATCTTAAATATAATATTTATTATGAATAATAACACTTTATTTAACCAAGTTTGGTAATGTTCTAAAGTCTGTCATTAAATTTCACAATATCGTACACCAATCACGTTTGTCTATTTTCGTTTCTTTATACATAATTATGCAGCTCAAATCTTTATTCTCTCACCCGCGTTTTATTATTGTTCGCTGAATACCGTAACTTTATTTTTGCCATCACATTTCCAATACAAAAAAATCTCATATCATTTATAAAATGACCCAAGGGATGGAACAAATCATACATCATCTTCCCCACTTAACTTTCGCAGTGCTTTTGTAGGTCCCATATTCATTAATTCACATTTCTGACGCAATAAAAAGGTCCCTTTCGCTAACATTTGAAGTAAGGCGAGGTTTTTGCCTTAAATTTGAATACGAGTAAAATAACTAAAATTATAATACTTCTATTTCGTAGCTTTCAAATTTCATATTTTCATATTTATTGTTTATTTGTAAAAAACATGTTTATTGTTTTGTGATTAACGTTTGAGATATGAATATCAATGGTATGTTGCAAACTTAAAGTATTAATTACTATGCAGTCGTCAGATCTGGTCATGCTTTTTTTTCTCGGGATAGTAATAATAATATTTAATAATATTTGTTACTATAATTATTCACTCCACAAATTTTACATCGTGACTTACACTATTTAAATAAAAAGTACCATCAATTACAATGAGAGGTTAATGTCGGCAGTCGTACTAGTATAAACTGTGTCACGGCTGCATGCGCCTTCCACTCTGGGAATTAAATAATAACCTAATACGAGTAGGTAAGATCTTTTACAACATATCTTAACAAATAATATTTAGAATCTTTTCAAGCTGAAATAAAAATTATAACATGCAGGTAGATACAAAACAAAATAGAATTTAAGCAAGATTACCACTAGGTGTGTTTGATGTATGGTATAATTATAAACGGGGAGCGTGAATGCATGAGGGAATATTATATTTGTACGATTTGTTAGGTGTATGCTATGAGTAATTGAATGTGTGGGATATGTAAGTGTGTGAATGTGTGTGTGTGTGAATATGTGTGAGAGAGAGAGGGAGAAGAGAGAGAGAGAGAGAGAGAGAGAGAGAGAGAGAGAGAGAGAGAGAGAGAGGGAGAGAGAGTGTATTAAGGTGTTTTATTTAAGGTTTTTGATCCGAATAATATTTTCTCGTCAAAATCTAAATTCAGTAACCAGTCCGAGTAGCAAATTTACACTGATTTAGGGTTAAAGGGTAAATATTTAAAGCTTTGTTTGCGATGTTATAGAGATGGGAACTTATAACAAAATAATGCCGTTTTGCAAAAGTGGTTCTGTGGGGAGGTGTTGTGCAAACTCTGCTCTTATTGCGTATTTGAGTTGGAACGTATGGCAGTCCTAGATGCTTACGAAATATAGTGTGGAAGATAAAGAATGTTCTTACCGTAAGAACTGAGCATTCACGGTAGAGTAGTGACGTGCTATACCTACGCGGTCTTATATAAATTACTTTTAAGATTCCACGTTGAACACGCTCCAGGGGAAGCAGTGTACTAATGCTAGTTCCACCCCATGAGACAATGCAGTATTGTTTGAGCATAATTTGAGCAAAGATTGGATAAGCGTATAGTAAACAAACATTAGCGTGTCGCGATTAGCAGATTTTCTAAGTAGGTAAAAGATAGGAATTAATTTTCTAATTTGGGCTGTTAATGATTTAACATGTTATGACCAATTAAGATGATTATCTAGAATCAGACCGAGATATTTTAAGCTATGTGTTGGTGATAACTGACTTGCGCAGTAACTATTTATTCTATCACAAGTGCCCTTATACAAAAGTCAATGGATGGTTGAGTATTGGCCCGTGGGGTGAATGTTATGTATTTGGTCTTTATTAAGTTTAACGTAAGCAAATTAACGTCCAAACATCTCAATACCACGGTGAGGGCATTTTCAGTGTTTTGTTGAGCCCGAGCCCAATCCTTACCATTTTTTTTTTTTATAGGAGAGGGGGCAAACGAGCATGCGGCTCACCTGATGGTAAGTGACTACCGCCGCCCATGAACAACCGCAACACCAGGAGAATTGCAGATGCGTTGCCGGCCTTTTAAAAAGGAGTAAGCTCTTTTCTTGAAGGTCCCTAAGTCGTATCGGTCCGGAAAAATCGCTGGTGGTAAACTATTCCACAAGGAAGTTGTGCGAGGAAGAAAACATCTTCTAAATCGCACAGTGGTGGACCGCCAATCATCCAGATGGTGTGGATGGTATCGGGAGTTCTGCCGCGATGTGCGTTCGTGAAATTTGGCGGCTGGGATTAATCCGAACAATTCCTCAGAGCACTCCCCATGGTAAATGCGAAAGAAAATGCTAAGAGATGCAACATCTCTTCGCAGTGCCAATGAGTCGAGCCGATCGGAAAGGACTCGGTCGTCGACGATTCGAGCCGCTCTGCGCTGGATGCGGTCAAGTGGAAGAAGCTGGCACTGGGGAGCCCCAGCCCAGAGATGGGAACAGTATTCCATGTGAGGCCGAACCTGCGCCTTGTAAAGTTGCAGGCGTTGAGCCGGCATGAAATACTGTCCCGCTCTGCTGAGCACACCAAGCTTTTTAGAGGCCAATTTGGCCTTCTCTTCCAAGTGACCACGAAACTGCACGCTACTCGATATGTCGACGCCAAGGATTCCGATACTGGCTGAGGCAACAAGGGGAGTACCTTGAAACTGAGGAGATACGACAAAGGGGTTCTTTTTAGCGGTAAACGCGCAAACTTGTGTCTTCTGAGGATTAAACTGGACTAGATTTAGTCGCCCCCAATCCGAGACTTTGTCCAGCAAAGACTCGACTTCAGACACAAGTTTGTTCCGGTACTCGGTGACGTTTTCCCGAGAAATATTGGCACGGCCGGTGTATAGAGCATCACCAGTGCTGTCATCTGCATAGCAATGAATGCTACCAGCTTGCAACATATCATTGATATGCAGAAGAAACAGCGTTGGTGATAGCATGCAGCCTTGTGGAACACCAGCGTTAATAGGCTTGTAGTCGGAGCATGCACCGTCTACAACGACCTTGATGCTCCGATCTGCAAGAAAGCTGGTGATCCAATTGCATAATTTCTCGGGAAGCCCATAGGAAGGGAGCTTCGAAAGAAGCGCTTTGTGCCAAACCCGATCGAAGGCCTTCGCAATGTCCAAACTAACGGCCAATGCCTCCCCCTTGGACTCTACTGCCAACGCCCATCTATGAGTTAAGTAGACCAGAAGATCACCAGCTGATCGACCCCGACGAAAACCGTACTGGCGGTCACTAATCAGCTGGTGATCCTCAAGGTACCGCATGAGGTGGCAGTTTACAACGGATTCCATTATTTTGGAGAACAAGGGGGTGATGGCGATAGGCCTGTAGTTGGACGGATCTGAGCGGTCGCCTTTTTTAGGGATCGGGTGGACAAAAGCTGTCTTCCATGATTTTGGGACTACGCCTAGGGAGTAGGAGTACCGGAAAAGACGCGTTAGAACCGGTGCCAACTCCGGAGCACACGTCCTCAGCACAATTGGGGGGATTCCGTCAGGCCCACTCGACTTGTGGATGTCAAGGGAGAGGAGTGCTCTGCGAACCGAGCTCTGTGAGAATCGCACATCCGGCATGGAGCACTCACACCGCGGGATGGTCGGCGGTGTGTTCCCCCCGTCATCAACAGTCGAGTTGGACGCAAAAAGGGAGCCTAAAAGGTCGGCCTTCTCTTTTGCGTCATGGGCCAATGAGTCGTCCTCCCTGTGCAGAGATGGTAGTGATGGCTTACAGAAATTCCCTTGGACAGCCTTGGCGAGAGACCAGAATGCACGGGTTCCCGAAGGAAGGCGAACTAGTTTCTCGCCAATTCTGCCTATGTGCTCTGACTTTGCCTTGGCAATAACTCTTTTGAAGGACCTGGAGGCGAAGTTATACTTCTTTTTGAGTGTGCTGGTGTTTACATCCCGAGTCACCGAAGCCGCAGCCCAGGCTTGATAACACTCCTGCTTACTGCGTAATGCAGTCTTACAGGAGCGACCAAACCAAGGCTGAGATCTGCCTCCGATGGGTACCACAGATGATGGAATAAATAGTTCCATTCCCTGTAGCACTACATCAGTGACAGAGTCAGCAACAGCGCTGGGATCATCCGGCGAGAAGCAAACCCGCCCCCATGGGTAGGAAGCAAAGAAAGACCGCATTCCGTCCCAATCCGCCGACCTGTAATGCCAAACACGGCGGCAACCTGCAGAACGCAACCGCGAAGGGAGCGTGAGTGGCACCACACTCCGGATCAGACAATGGTCCGAAGAGCCAAGAGGGGCATCGACGGAAACCTGATATCCGTCCGGATGAGAGGTCAGCAGAAGGTCCAACAGGGAAGGTGTATGATCCTCAACATCTGGAATCCGCGTAGGCGATGTAACCAGTTGTGTCAGACCATATGCCAAGGCAAAGTCATAAACAGATCTCCCCGCATGATCGGTTGAACGTGAACCGAGCCATTCGGCGTGGTGGGCGTTAAAATCGCCAAGGATCACGATCTCTGCGGATGGGACCTGTTGTAGCAAGGAATCTGTAGCCATTTGGACGTGGTCGATGAGTCGGTCTGTTTCGGCATTACCGCTATGGGACCTATAGAGGCACACGTAGACGCGCGGATGGTCGTCGCTGTCTACGCGTAGCCAAAGGATGGACAGGTCCGAACCTTCAAGACTGCCGAGGCGTCGAGAACAGATGTCCTCTCTGACATACACGCAAACTCCAGCCCGAGGCACAAAGGAGTGCTCCAATTTGTACCCCGGGTAGGAGAGATACGAAGTATCAGCCGGAGAGGACACCTGCGTCTCGGTCAGAAAGAGCAAGGCCGGCTTCGCCGTCTCAAGATGGTAGTGGACGGCGTTTAGGTTCGAGTGAAGTCCCCTGATGTTGCAGAAATTCACGGATAGCGTGGCAGGGGTCGCCTTGGTCTTGTTGCTCAGTTTGCCCCGAGCAGTTATTGTGTTGAGCGGAATTTTGCCCCCCCCAGAATACGCGGGGCAGCCTGAGCACCCACGCTCAGGAGTGGAATTGCATGGTCGTGGATGCTCAGCGAGGGATTCTTCAGGGGTACTGGTACCCTCCTGGGGTAGTTTTTGACGTAATTCCGCTACCATGTTGATGGGGGGGGGGGGGGAATTGGGCATCCGGTCACCTGCACTCACCAGACGAAACGCGGAAGCAGAGCTTCCACTTCACACCGGTATTCTGTGAGGTCGTGGTACTAACCCGGCTCGAGCCGGCCCATACGTGCAACAGCAAAAGCTGCTGCAAGGCTCTACCACTGCTAATCGTTGCGTTGACTGTGCATGGTCATGTCATGTGACCATGCACAGTCAACGCTGTATCATCTGCATAAGTGATAATTTTGCAGTTTGGTAACGAAAGCTTACACAAGTTGTCTTTTTACACTAGGAAGAGTGTTGGACCCAGTACACTGCCCTGTGGTACTCCACAAGAGAGATTGATATCCAGACTTTCGTAGTTACCTAATTTGACACATTGTAAGCGATTTCATACAGACTCCGCGTATACCTGTTAATTCCAGCTTTTTCAATAGAAATGATATAGATACAGTGTCGAATGCCTCCGAGAAATCGAGGAAAACTCCAACAACTTTGTGACCCATATCAAGGTTTGTAACAATAGGTTAGTAGTCTCAGTAAGATTCAAAGTAGCATCATCAGTAGATTTTCCTTTTAAAAATCCATACTGATTTTGTGCAATTGCATTTGTCTTTTCTAAAAATTTAATAAGTCTAGAATTTAAAAACTTTTCCAAAATTTTAGATACTATTGTCAGCACCGAAAAGGTTCTGTAGTTCCCTATCATATCTCTATTTCCGTTTTTATAAATAGGATGTACAAAAGCTCTCTTGAGGATGTTTGGAAAAACTCCTGAAGCGAAATATTGATTGATCATGTGGGTCAAAGGTGGAATAAGGCTAGTCCTTGCGTTCTTAAAAAAGTAGGATTGCTGTCAACACCTGTAGCGCAATTATTTTTAAGGTTCATAATAGTGTTCTCAACTTCATTATAATCCACATCAAGTAAAGATATCGTTTTAGCGGTTTAACAATTCAGTGGGAGATGGAGATGCTTTTTTTAGACTAGCGACTTTGTTAATAGTATTCCACATTTCTTTGGGATTATCTTTATTCTTTTTGAACTCGGTTTGTTCAAATTCGGTTTTTAGTTTTTTAAAAGATTATTGCAAAAATTACGGTACCTAGAATAGGTTAGTTGTAATATGGCATTTTTAGGATACAGTTTAGCCTTTTTGTGTAACTTGTCACGATTTCTGATGCATCGTACAAAACCAGGTGTTATCCAGGGCTTAATAGCTCGTTTACGATGCGGGACGTAGATTAATGAGGAGTAGCAAGAAATTGGTTTATATATTATATCAATCAAAGAGTTTGCTCCTAAATTTGCATTTGCTGCGTTATATACATGGTTAAAGTCTGTTACAGATAATTCCTGGACTAAATTTGGGTACTCAAATTTTCCTTATGGTGATTTTAGCTGGATTTCTTTTAATTGTAGCCTCTAACACAAATATAATCGGCACATGATCAGTTATGAGCGAATCGAGAATAAAGTTTTAGAACATCGATTTGATCTTAGCATAACGTGATCAAGACAGCTACTTATACACGTACGTATAAGTAGCTACGCGCGTACGCGTACAGCCAATGATATGCCGTTAGGTCAATGTAGTTATTACAATTAGGATCAGAGCTATCGGAAGCTATATTTATTTTAATATCTCCAATTAAGATAACTGATTTAACAGACGCCAATGAAGTCAAACTATTTTCAAGACTATTGCAATCAAATATTGAAAATGGGATCACCTCAACTTGTATCGGAACAAACTTGTGTCTGAAGTCTCGCATTGGGAACGACTAAATCTTGTCAAGAGTAACCCTCAAAAGACACATGTTTGTGCGTTTACCGCTAAAAAGTACCCCTTTTTCGTATCTCTTCAATTTCAAGGGACTTCCCTTGCTGCCTCAGCTAGCATCTGAATCCTTGGCGTCGACGACGGCGGCAGTCGGGGCAATATCAGAATTGTCTACACACCTGCCGTTCAGTATGAGAGTCTACGTCCCGCTAGACACACCTGTTGAAAATGGCGCCAGTTTCATCGAAATATCAATGAATCGATATAATATATGGCCTTAGCCCTTTTTTATATAGAACTAGCTGGTACCCGGAGCGTTGCTGCCACAGAAGAAATAATTGTGGAAATATCGTTTTAAATTTGGAACAATTTTATTGTTTCATTAGGAATGATGTAATACAATCATTCAAGTAAAATGATAAATTACTTTTAAATACGTTAGTTTGTACGACACGCGCACCACATACTGTAAGTTTATAGTACTATGCCTATAACCTTCGCGTAAGTGCAAGCAAAAATTTGACAAAATTTACCGCAATCTGATTAACGGTATGGCAACGCATAAAATACAAAGAAACAAAAATTATTTTTTATATATTAGATATAGGTGACAAATGAGCACATTCCACCTGATAGTATGTGGATACTGGGGCCCATAGACATCCATATTTATCGATATAACAACTAATAATCACGTTTAAACATGTTACAACATTCAAATAACGTTCTTTATGCGGTGCTGCCGCAAAAAAAGACAATATTATCAAATAAACGTCAACCTATATGTGGGGTTATTTTTCAAAGCGTTGTCAAATTTTACATTGAAGTTCAAATAAATAAATTATTATATACCGATTTTACATTTTTAGGAAATTACGAGTAAATTAGGCTTCTACTTTTATTTGAAATTACTCCAAATTGAATGTGATTTATGGGCAACATCTCCTCTTACGCGCGCTCCCATGTGTGTGATTCAATTCACGTTTTCATTTTCAAGATTTTGCCTACTTGTACTTTTTATTGACACAAACTTTACTTTTTAGTCAAACAAGCTTTTATTGAAATGCGCTAAAAAGAATAAAATAAACTTTAAATTAAATCAAACCGATCAATTTAATACATTACACAATTTAAATTATATAAAAGCTTGTCGTGAGATTTATTTTAACTAAATATAAGCTTTTAAAAAATAAAGCTAATTACAGCGGAAATAATATGCAAAAATTTTAAACCAAAGTTAACATAACTTAAACACATATAATTGACGCGGTTTTACTTTCTTTTAAACTTAAGTTACAATTTAGAGATCACCTAGTAGTAAGTAACTACTGAAGGTATTATGTGCGCAGTCATAATTTGCTATAAGGGTGGCTTTACCACGTAAGAAAAATTTAAACAGTTCTTATTAACAATGAGTAATTATTAACAAAGACATAATGATATTTTTTCTTAACTATCCAGCACGTGGGCTAAAGTACTTTTACTTGGATTGCAATTCACAACTTCACTGGTGCTAACGCCAGGAATCAAACTAATGTTGTTCTTTTTCCTATTAGATACCGCTACAAATGACGTTATTTTTAGCCTTCTACACAAAAAGAGGAGTTTTTTTTTATATCCAAGTGGAGGCAAACGAGCATGCGGCTCACCTGATGGTAAGTTTTAAATTCGACTGATGTTCTTTTAATAAGTATCTTACGCAATAATTTTGTCAATTTAAATAGATTTAAATGATTAATTTTCATGAAATTGAACGATAGATGGAGGCCTGTCACGTCGGGACCTAATTAGAATCACAGTGCACAGTTGCTTAGGCCGTCTCCGCTTTGTATTTGCTCCGCGGCGTATACATAAAACAATGCCTCAATTTTGTGTTCTTTAATTGTTTCATCCTTTCGGAATATGCATAGTTTGGTTTATCTATTTGTAATCTAATTAATATAAAATATAACTAAACTAAACATTTATCTCTACACTTGTCTACAAATAAATTTACAGGATAAATTCCAACCCTAAGTGTCGGGACAATAGGGGACGAATTTTCTAATGGTATATTTTAGTCGACATTAAATATAGTCATGTAGTGGCGGTGTAAGTATATCCACTACCCCATTTCATCCCGTGGGTTTCATAAAAGGCGATAGAGCAAAACTGAAATAGCAGATGGGCAGCAACATATTCCTGAAACAACTTAAAATAATAAAATAACTGGGTTTGCTAACTCAAGCGAGAATGGCCAAGCGTGGCAACTACAGCAAAATCCCCCTTTGAGGCAATCTATGGGGAAGGCCTACTTTCAGCAGTGAACTTTATAGGCTATTATATTTATGAAGTAACATTGAGCTATTTAAAAAATTTGATATTCCTTAGTCAACTCAAAAAGATAAAAATATTCACTTTTAAAAGTAAACGCCGACTCCATGGAACAAAAAATAATTAATCGTGTCCACATAACAACATCTGAAGTCAGTCTGAGGTCTGAAGTCATTCTATACACTATGTCTTAACATCGACTTGTGAAATGGTTAGCTGAAAATTACTTCAGACAGCTACATAAATTATTTTAAAAATTACACTTTTAATAAAAATTTCCTTGAAGTTGGCTTTGATTATTAATTAAAAGTTTAATCATGTATAAATCCATACAGCAAAATGTGCGTGACTATGCTATCTTTTACATTTGTTACTCGTTAAATATATTCAATATTATATTATTAACCCACTAGTTGTTAGGGCTTCCTTTTTGCCAATGAGTCAATTTGTATAACACCTACCTATTTCTGCTGCAAAGCATAAATGTATTCAACTACGATGTTCTTCCCAGCACTCAACCAAAACGTGGCCTACTTTTACGATAAAATAACCGCGCCCACTCTGTTATAGCAGTTTTCCAAAATAAAAGTACATAGAAAATTTTCTGATGTTGCAAAAAACTTTTCTGCGACCATGCATATAAAAATACATGATCAATGCACCCCTTCCCTTTCTAAATCCCACTTGCAATTGTTTTTTATTTTCTTTCATTCAAAAATACCTAAGAGATGCATTCCTCTTATACAATGGGACGTAACTTTATACCAGTGTCTCACTACCGGATGGAAGTTAGCGTAGAACATTCTTTTTTTAACTAAACTGTATGCCAATTACTTGCTCCATAAATGCTCCAGCAGAATCCAAAATTGCTCCACCTCTATTGTTATTAGTTAATTTA